ACTGACTGCAAGAAACATGGGGGAGGGAGACATAAGCCACTCCACACACCCTATTCGCTTGGGCACAGGAGGACTAACTGTGCTACAAGAGCCCACCCACATTCTGCATGATCTAGCAAAACCAATGAGTGAACAGGTTCCTTGTGAATTCCTCAGGGGAAGATATTTCTTGTGATGGCCCAATGAAAGCTTCTATTTCAGTACCTGCTTATGTACGTATGGGATCGCCTGAGGAAACCTGCTCTGCATTGAGCTAAATTATATCAGAAAGGAATAAGCTGGTCAGGTGCCAGTATGAGTCTCTTTTCTGTTGCTCATAACAGAGCCCCTGAAACTGGGTAATGTAGAAAGAAAAGAAATTTCTTTCTTGCAGTTGTGGAGACTGGGAAGTCCAAGGTTAAGGGGCTGCATCTGCTGAGAGTTCTTTCCTGTTCAGTACTCTCAGCAGATTCCGAAGGAGGCACAGAGTACAACACATGCAGGGGGCTGAGCATGCCATGTGCTAGTGCAGGCTCTCTTTTACTTTATATGAAGCCACCAGTTCCCCTTTCATGAGGGGATCGACCCACTCATGAGGGCTGGGCCTCATGATCCAACAGAACTTAAATATTCCCTCAATACTGCACCTTTCGGGGCTAAATTCCAACATGAGTATTGGAGGAGACAAATATCCCAACCATAACAGTGGCCCAGAGGGAAACTTGTAGTAAACTTAGGAGATGAGATGCATACATGAAGAATTAGGATCAGACTTAACATGTTGATTAATACAGAGATATTAGCACAGATGAAAGTGACGAAGTTGAGATGAAAACTATTGGCAAAGTGAACAATGTGTTGTAGGAGGTGGGTTGTGTGTTATGAATGTTTCGGCTAAAAGGAATTAGAAAAAGGAGACTAATACAGACTGGACCGGCACAGAACAGCTCAAGGAAGGAGATGATATTTGACCAGAGACATGCAGCAAAATGTTACAAAAACAATCATAGCTAACTTTTCAGGAAAGGTTAATATCTTCCAGGATTTATTCCGGTTGCTGAATGCCAAGGCAGTCCAATAACATAATCCTTATTGGTCTCTACAGTGATTTCAATGTTGGTGTACCCCCACAATCTTTATGATGCAAGTTAGTCCCCAAGGTGAAGGTTTTATATGTAGGGCCTTTGGGAGGTGATTAGGTGACGAGGCTCTGCCCTCATGAATGGGACTAGTGGCCTCCCTTATAAAAGAGGCTGTGGAAGCCTTCTTTCCCCTTACAATATGTGTGGGAACGCAAAGGGTGACATGAAGAAGGAAGAGGCCCTGGTTAGACACCAAACCTGCTGGTGCCTCTTGCACTTCGAGAACTGCAGCCTCCAGAACTGTTAGCAATAAACTCCTGTCTTTTCTGAATTACCCAGTGGAAGATATTTTTTTAAAACAGCCTGAACAGACTTAGAGACTGTACCATCATTTTACTGACAAGGAAACAGAGAAGAAAAACAACCCTGAAAGATACACAGGTGGTAGGAGGAAGAGCTGTGACAAGAAAGCAAGCAGCCTACGTGGAACCCATACACTTAATTACTCTCTGTGGTGCAAGGTGGATAAGAAGTCATAGATAATTTTTTCAGGAGAGCCTATGAGCATGAGATGAAGTACCGATGGGAGCAGAGTGACTGTGAGTATAGACTGTGGAGACACAAGTGCACTGAGAGATAGGACCTGGGCAGTGTCCAGGCATCAAGAGAGGCCAGCCATGTTTCCAGCTGCAGAGTGCAGCCAGAGGGAAAAGCCTCAGCAACAGTGAGCAATGAGGTGGGAATTCCTGAGCGTGGGATTCACACCCACGGCCTGGTTCTTCCTTCACTCCACATCCCATGCGGCTTAAGTTCCCAGATTCATCCCTTCACTGATTGCTGGACAAAGTGTAGAACCACTCCATGTCCCTCCGGATCTTTGCCAGAGTCTTATCCCCAACTCTATGTCTGGAAAGCTCACTAAAAAACATTCCCTGAGCTTCTAAAGGAGCAGCAAGACTGTAGAGGATAAGTTACCTCTAAGAGAAACTAGTTCTCTCCTTTTATGAAAAAAGAAAAAA